ATGTTGCCTTTAAAACTGGAAGCTGAACCGCATGTATAGGTCGCTTTCATGTTCTAGATTTTAATGTAATAGTTTCTCAGATATATTATCTTGAGAAACTTGTTTTTTGGGAGAAATCCAAACTTATGATTCACAAATAATGTTTTTCTTATCATTATTTGTTAGCTTTGGCTCCATAAACTTGCCATATTAATCTTATGGCTTGAATTCCTTCCAACAGATAAAAATCACAGGTTGAACAATACCAATGGCCTGAGGCTATTATAACAAAATATATGTATTTTTTGTTTATTAATGCTGACTGAGAATATACTGAACTTTGTGCCAGTTTTTGTTTCATGTGGATAGACTCAGTAATTACAGAAATATTAAGCATAAAGCAGGTTAAACATCTACAGCAAATTTCACTACGTATAAGTCTGAATTGTCCTTCTGCTCTTTTTAGACTCTTGGTACTTTGCAGTGACGTCAAGCCGGGGCTTTTCTAAACCACCACTAGAGATTTATGTACAAGTTATCATGGTTACATAACAACCACTGACAAAAAGTTTTAAGATTGTTTGAAAACTCAAGAAAAAATACAAAATGGATTTAAAGAACAAATTTTCAGGGACCGGTAATCAATACAGGTGCGTTCATGGTCCTGTTCAGGAGTTTGATTTTCAACAAAAGATGGGAGTGCTAACTGAAAAAGTGTAGGCTAATGTTAGATATTTTGTGACTGTAATTTTACGTGTGAGAGACTCATCTCACCTGTTGTAGTTCTAACTAAGTCAGCTCGTTCTGGTCAGACTGTGTTAAAGATCATAGATAAAGATCAGATTAAGTCTAACCTGAGTAACAGAGCTCTTAACAGTGCTGTGCGTTCAGTTAGCATCACACCCCCAGGAAGTGTTGATGGCATCAGCTGCAAAATATCAATAGAAAGTTGTGATGCCACGTGAACCCAACCTATTTTGTGTGGCTAAAGTGGTCATGTACTGGCACCTATTCTTTCACTATCTTGTCTTTTGTGGGTCCACTCTGTTGCAGATGCAGACCACAGACACTGATAAATGTGAGTGGGTTGACAGTTCTGAAGGGGGCGAGCTGCTCACTGTTATCCAGGAAATGGCCCGCTCTGACAGGTGAGTGCTTCTCCAAACCAAAAGGACCAAATATTATGATCACGCTGCTTCCTCCTACGCTGGCCCAAAATGTCGCCAATTACTTTCAATTAAAGAATGACAGCAAGTAGTGTCAACCTTAATGAATGCACTGAATGTTAGGTAATAGGCTGGGGATTTGGTTTTCCCACCATCTTATATCATAAATTTCCATTTTGCAATAGCTAATAAAAAAGAAATATGCTAAAAATGTCTAAATATGATAAGAAATGTGTCACAAGTGCACATGTATTTGGTTAGAGAAATCTATATACTTATTTCCTTAAAGGTGCATTATGCAACTTTTCTGGTGGAGGTCCGCAACCTGCTTTTCTCTTTGGGGATATTATTGATTTACCTCTAATGTTTCACAGTATGGCATTAAACATGTCTATGCATGTATTCAATAACAGGTGTTAATGAAAAACATGCATTCTTTCAAGGAGGGTGTTCACTTCTCCACAGATCTGATGTAGTTTAATGAGGTTCATTTGGTCTTCCATTAATTTATTTTAATAGGTTATTTTTTCTGACCTGCAGTTCAGCCTGCATCTCAATGGAGATGCTAGATAGGTTTGTTGTGGGCCCACAGTAAACTGAACTGTAGCAAGTTACTACAAAGACTTGCTCTAACAGTATTTTTAAATGTGTTTAGACAATTTAAAAGTCAGGCATTTCAAACAATTGATATAAAACTGTTAATGTGAAGAAGCTTTTTGAGGCCATGCTTTCAAAAAGCTTATACTAGTATTAGTAAACCAACACTATCACGGTGAGAATGGTAAAGTAGTCGGTTGTATCTTTCAGACAGGTTCGGGTCACAGCAAACCTCTTCTTTTCAAAGTTTTTGTCCGTGAGAGCCAACTTTGTATTTGTCACGTCTGATATTTTTTGTGTGAAGAGCCCCGTGAACACCTGTATCTCTGCATCTCTCTCTCTCTTTGCTTTTGTGTGTACGAGCCAAGGGTTTTGTTGCCTTAGCGACCATGCTTCTCTTTGATCTTGTGATGTACGAGACTGGCGACCTGTCACCCATTCTCACGCACACAAACATGGAGAATAGTCTGAAAGTCTCCTCTCAATCGCACAGCCCTGTCAGATCGATAATAAAGGTGTATTGTTGTCCAGCTACATAGACCTCTCCAACTCTCACCCGCTTTTTGTTATCCTTTGCACCCTCTTCCTCCCCCAAGAGTGATTTTTTTTTCCTTTCTATTTGCCTGTTCCTCCTCACTGGCTCTCCGGCCCTCTCCTCTCTGCTCTGCACTCAGATGTGGCCTTTGAAGTGGCACACTCCATAGTGGTGCAGCCACGGTGGAAAAAGGGTGGAAGAAGGGAGGAGGTAGAAGCAGAGGTTTTAGGAGATGAGAGGGGGAGGGTTTTTAATTGAGAGGATGAAGCATGATGTCATTCAGTGTTTGCCATGACAACCTGAGGAATGCCTTTTTCAAAAGTAAGGCGTGGACAGAAGGGGTGGGGCTTAACTCACCCCTGTACAAAAACGGAGAGGCCCAGAGCGTATCGGCAGTCAAAAACACAACAGACGCAGCTGAGCGAAAAATACATTCCCATTTGGAAAACACAGAGAAGGCAACTAGTGGAAATCTAACAACTGGTGCAGTGGCGAACACATCTCGCCTCTCAGCAAGGTCCCAGGTTCAATTCTTTGGAAGCATGAGGCCTTTCAGTCCCAAGTTGAAAGAAATGAAGTGAGATGCAAGGAAGGGCATCTGACAGAAAAAAAAATGCATGTGTCATCTATAAACACTCCTTTTTTTACAATGTAAATATACTGTTAGAGGCATTAAATAGATCATGTTGTAACTGGGGTTAAAGGGAGACGAGTAAATACCAGTAGATTTTTTCAGATCAGTTTCTTCTTCTATTATCCTTCTTTTCTTTTCATCTTCCAGCTGTGTGAAATTATATTATCAAATCAGCATTTTAAACCATGGGTTGCATCAACACTGAGTGAAATTTACTTGTTCTATTTTTTTAATAGCTTTAAGCTGCTCGGGCTCTAACTGAGCTGGACCACTTTATGTGAATGCATCTCAAGTTCACATTTTGGATATAACACACAATGGAGGCAATACCATTATATGACTTGAACATCATTTCAACAGCACAGTTATATACATTACAGTTAATGAGTAAAATACTTCTGTAATAAATAAATAAGATTTTCCATTGTCTTCTGGTTGAAACAGTGATGGAGGTGATGGATTTAATGACTTGCCAAACTTTGTGGGGAAACTTTTTTAACAGATTCAAATTATGTTTTCTAAATTCACACAAACTCTCAAGGATTTCCAAAGCCTGTGGGAAAAGTGTTAATTAGGTTAATTATGTGGATTTTAATTAACTAAGGCAGTGGGAGGGTTTCCGCTGGTCTGGCTCAGAGGCTGCCCCACAGACACCTGCAGCCACAAACCCAAGGAGAGAGGCATGAATAAAGCAGGCAGAAATGTACATCTACCAATGTGGAGATTAAAGGACTCCCAGCCTTTAGTACATAGAAAGTACTTTTAAAATCAATGTCAACAAATCAGAGTAGTAATAATAAGGAATCTAAACAATAAATAATAAAATGAAACAAAAAAATATATTGTTCTTTTTACAGTGTCACTAATTAACTAATGACACATTATTCTAGGTAAATTCTGGACATTTGCCTTCATATGAGGATATTTATTTCAACTTAGGTTGAAATTTTGTACCACCCTTCCTATACACAACCTGCCTCAAAAATACATTGCCAATATCAGTGTATCGAGCTATCCCTCTGAAAAACAATCCTTTTTGAATCTCATCAAAGCTGCAGTTGAACTCTTATTTCTGTAAATGGACTGTTTAGATAGTGAGAATATATGTTTTATAAGACTTTATCCTGTGGCTCTCTACAATGAATAATGTTGCTTTCTTTCAGGTGCCATGCGGAGGTAGTGTCCCTGGCTGCTGAAATCCTCAATCAGATTACCGGATGAAAAACTTTTTAGCACAGTTGAATTTAATTTTTTTTTTTTAGCAAGTTTAATCTTATTTATATTTTTTGTTCTTGAGTGATGATACTTTTTCAGTAAATGTCTTTGAGCTTTTTCTAAAAATAAAATGTTTCAAGGTTTTAAGAAATATGATGGGCTCTTGTCATTGGTTTCTTGTTTGATTTTGTGTGGGTATATATTTAGCTAAAATCAACATTAAAATGGTCTCAAAAGATGTCACCTTGTGAATGTAAATAGCTGGTCATGTATAAAACCCTCATGAATTAAGAAGTTGTGGAATTACAGTAAACTGTTGTCTCTGGAATAATCTGATCTTTAGCAGGTTTACAGTTGGACTCCTCTGCCATGCAGTGAAAAGTAAAAATTGGCCATGTCAAACTGGCAATAGACAATGGTTTTACTGCATTAATTCAAGAGTTAGATGGAGTGGAGCAGATTGGACTGGTTTGATTAGCAGATCTGGACATTAGGAGGGACATACAGTGAGACTAGTCCTGTAAAACCCACCACAGCTGTTCTCCCAAAACACAGCACCAGCAGCTCCATCTCCTGGTTTTAATTTAATATGTAAATCAGAGTAAAGCCACAGCAAACAGCTGGCACACACCAGTCAGAACAAACTCATTTAGGGTCTTATAACCTGATACAGGAAACTGCATCGTCGACAGACCTGGTGGGGCTTTATCAATAGTGGGAAATTACATTTGCACATAACCTGGAATAATTGTCTAAACAAAGAATCTAACCTCAGCCTGAGCCTTCAGCCATAACTGTCAAACTGACTCAAGTGTGATGTAGCACTTATTCACCATGTCCTGTGTTTGGGTTAAATGAGACAGAGGCACTGGTGTGAAATGACAGTCCATTTTATTGTTTAACACAGCAGGCTACAGCAACCAGCTCCTCCCAAACCCTCCCACAGTAACAGCACTGTCGGCCACACCCCTTTGGAACAGCAGAGACACATTAGTGTCCACCTTAAAGCAAGAAAATAGCTTCATATTTGGACCATGATTTCCAATTCATGTTTTTTTATACAAAAGCTACACAATGTTACACTTCATCAGAATACAATTCAAATGATTAACTTGTGTTGGACACCATTCAAAATGCGTTCAGATTTACTTGGATGGAGCATAAAAATGACAGACATGGACTGCAAAAACAAAATGACAAGCAGAAACAGATCAAAAGGAAAAGCAAGCTAAAAACATGTACCTTACAGAAAATTGGATAAAGAGTAAAACCAATGGTAAAAAAACAAACAAACTGAAGTACATAAAAGGATAATGTAAAATCAAAACAAATGTTGAACTTGTCGTCTCCTCAGAATCAGAGTCAGCCCATACTCAGGCTGAGAGCAGAACCGCACTTTTAATACTTTTGTCCCAATGGAGTTTCCATAGACAGGAAACAGCCGTTATGAGTCGTCTTCAGGCACTTTCTGAAACCCCGCCTCCTCCTCATGGGCAAATCACGATGCAGGTTCATCCAGATCACATGATACAGCTGCAAAAGAACAAAGGCGTTGGAACTATGCTGGCAACAGGCCGCACAAGTGGATCAAAGTACCACAAACATCACAAAATCCACAACACACACTTTGTAATTAGAAGCAGTCTCAACATGCAGACGCCATCAAGTCTTAAATCCAATGACTGCCCATTTTAGACATTTAGTACAACGATGAGCAGGCTGCATGATTCTTACCTAGTAGAAAGTGTAGTGTAATGTTGCTCTTGGTATTTACAGGTCTGTATCGAACCAGGCCAGTTGGTTGGAATCACCGGGAGGGAGGCCTTCAATCAGTTCTTGGGCATGTCCCAGGTCAGGAAGGCCCTCAACGGGAGGGTAGTCCTGGCCAGGGTGGTGTCCCAAGTCATGGTCCATCATAGGCTCCAAGCCCATAGTGTCCCCGCCGTAACCCCCCGCATGGAAAGCACGGTAGCTTGGGTCTGGTGTGGGGAGGAGTGAGGAGGCAGGGGAAGCAGAGCAGCGGTTAGAGCATGTTAAAAACCCAAGCGTCACACAGTAGTACGATCACTTATCACCACAGCAACACGCCACACCTCTGGAGCATGTTTCAATTGACAAGTTAATCTCAACAGCAAACCAACTTATGTGCAGACTTCGTGACCAGGCAACTACTATGAGCCAATTACACTGACATGAGCTGAGGAAGAGGAGCTGTACACATCCAAATGGAGTAGCTGTGTCCAAGATGGTCAAGTTAACTAGAGGCAGCTGCAGTGATCTACACTGACAGACTGGATTAAGACATCACAACTGTCTCAGGTTACTGTTTAAATCTAGCTCCTACAGTGACAGTGACTATGAGAGGGCTCCACATACAGAAACAATGGGACAGCTTGATGAGGGCAGCAGACTTGTTTATCTGATCCGTCTGCCCTCAGCTGCTCATGTGTTTCTCTTGGGAGCCTTGAAGCGAGAGGTGAAGAGGTGATTTACCTTCAGGTCTGTAGCCCAGAGGCTCTCCCTGAGCACCAATGTCCAAGCCCAGGTCTCCGGTCTGCAGAGCACAGCACATAGGCGTTAGAGAGCATAATTCTTGTGTCGGCAATAATAAAGCTTTAATAAGTGTTGATGCAAAGAATCACACCTCGTTCCAGGCCATTGGCTCCGTCCTGAAAAGAGAACTTGTGAGTTCTACTGAAAGACGTTTCTTGTAGTCCTGGGGTTTGTCTTCAGACATACGGAACAAGACAGCAGCTGCATATGTGGCTGTGGAGAGATGAATCACTCAAGTTAATCTCTTGGCCTCTAAAATACATTGAGAAGCTTTAGTTTATGTTGGTACGCACCGACTCCCTCATTGCGGCTGTGCAGCAGCTCTGTCAGTGGGGCAGTGGCTCCCTCGGCTTCAATGGCCTCAGCCGCCTCTTTGTCCTGTGCCAGCTCGCACAGCACCCCAGCAGCCACACGCTGGATGTTCTCAATGGGAGAGTACAAGAGCTACACACACAATAGCATGTTAATACTGAAAATGATTGACCAAGAGACAGCTTTACAGTCTATATTTAGTAGCATAGAATAATAAAATGAGGTTGTTATTATGTTACCTGGACAAAGAGAGGGATGGTGTTGAGGCCTCTGATAACTATTCTGTTGTGAACGTCTCTGGCCAGGATGTGAAGAGCCCCTGTGCAGCCTTCCACAATCTCCTCCATACGAACCCCCTCCTGCATAAAAACGAGGTATTAAACACCCTCTAATAGTGACCCCTCAGGCTCTTGAACCTTAGGTTCAGGCCTCACCACAAACTGCTGCTGTGTGCCCCCCATGCTGGTGCGCCTCTGCGTGTCCTGGTGAGCTCGCACCAGCAGCTGCACCAGTCTTGGGATAGCGCCCTGTTCCCTCAGAGGGGCATGATTAGCAGGACACAGGGCCAGATTACGAATCAATCCAACTGTAGCCTGTGCAAGAAAAAGACAAGTTAAACATCCTATTCACAGTAAAACTCTTCATGTTCCAGAGTGGGATTATAATGTGCACCTTAATGAGAGGCCAGTGTGATGGAGGGTGCAGTAGTTTAACCACTACAGGCAGACCATAGTGCAGTCTCACAGCGTTCTGGGCCATCTCTGCCTCCTGGTGTCGTGACGTCAGGTGACGCAGTGCACAAATGGCTGGCTCTGTGATGTCCTCCCTGTCACCAGCCCGAAGCACTGTGCGAACCAACGCTTCAATTCCTCCCACCTGCAGAGGACAGGGGAAATGTGACTTTATAGAAACAACCCCTTTCAAATAAATAAAAAAGGAAAAAGGTTGTACCTGGCAGACCATCATCTTGTTTTTGTAGTTGTTGCAGGTCAGATTGGACAAAATACCAGCAGCACAGGTGACTACGTTGATGTCGTCACTTCCGAGTAGCTGGACTAGAGTCCCGAGGAGACCTTCCATTCCCTCCTGTGAACAGGCACAAGTCACGTTAATGTCCAATTAAAAGAAAAAATATTAACACTGGGGTCAAACAAAACACTCACTTGTTTTGTGGCAGCGTCGGACAAGTTCCTAAGAGTCCAGAGACAGTTCTGGACCAGTCTCTGGCTGGGGTCTGTCAGGTGCAGACCCAGAGCCTGCATGCCTCCTGTACACAAAAACAGCATTCAAATCTATTAGCACATGTCTAAATAACTATACAAATTCATTTAAAAAAAAGTCATTACCAGCTTCTACAATGGCCGGTTTGTTACTGGAGCACACCGACAGCACTTTGAGCACTCTGCTAGTGGTCCAGAGCAGCTTCTCATAGGTGTAAGTCCTCATGATGTTCACCAGTGCCTGGGGGCCGCCACTGGCCAGGATTATCAACTACAACACACAGCAACAAGTGTAAGACATGACATTTCCACAGCCTGCTATAACTGTCCACCACTAAATAAGTTACCTTGCTTTCCTGGTTTCCATACGCCAGAATCTGCAGACAGTCTGTGGTAATGGCCAAGAACTTGACATTTGTTTTGTTGAGCAGGGCCACCATTTTCTGGAGCCCTCCGGCTAGTCGAACAGCCATCTTGGCTCCCTCTTGGTGCAGGAGGAGGTTGTGAAGGGTAGTAATGGCATAGAACAGGACAGAATCCACTGGGGAGCTACAGTAAACACAGACAGTTTTAGTACAATAGTGACCCAGAACTGAATAAAGCTTGTTATATGCACCACATGCAATTTTAACCATGTCTCATGCAGCCGTCTCTCTGCTGTTACTTACCCCAGCATCTTAACTAGCGCTGGAATTCCTCCAGATTTGAAGATTGCCAGCAGCCCCTCTCTGTGGTGGGACAGGTTGTGGAGGGTTCCTGCAGTGCAGCGAGCAGTCTCCACATCATTTGTGTTCTGCATGGTCCTGACAATGGCAGAGACCATCTGAGGGGAGCGCATGATGGCATGTCGCGAAGCCTCTTTCTTTGAAAGCTGGTGGACCATTACTGCTGCCTTGTTTACAACCACCTAAGACAGACAACACAAAAACTCAAATCTGGATCAAAGATACAAAGATTCGACAGTGTACTGAGAGCACCCACCTGGTCCTCATCATTCAGCAGTTTGGTGAGCTCTGGGATGGCCCTGGTGGCCAGCTCTGCATCATCCTGGTAGTTGATCAGGTTAACCACGGCGTGCTTTAACATCTGTGAGGGCTCTGCCAGCCTCTGCACATTGGTAGGGTTGGCTGTGTCATATTGTGTGGAGGGGATCTGCATGCCCTCCTCCAGAGTCTCTGGGAACATGGCCGCACGCACCCTCTGGGCCCGTGTCATGGCATACTGACCATCAATGTCTGAAGGAGTAAAGCCAGTCAAAATGTCTCCTTTAACAGCACCTACAAAATCTACTAAATTGGAATCTTTGGCAAAGGGTTCATACCTTGAACTTGTTCCTGGGAGAAATTCTGGTTGAAGCCCTGCTCCCATTCATACATGACCTGGTTGTCCACATCCTCCTCATCTGGGTTTCCCTTCCCACTCAGAGAGGGCGCTGTGGTGGTGGCTCCTGAGTGGATGCCTGAGTCCAGGTATGACTGCTGCTGCCAGTGACTGACTGCAGCTTTACGGTCCGGCTCCATGGCCATGTCCAGCTCCATCAGATCAGCTGCACAGACAGTCATTTATAATACAAACACATACAACATGTGTTCACATTAAGGTCACTGCCAAACTGCGGCTGTGCTAATCTAAAGCAATCATTTCAAATTGTCATTGACAATGAGCCATTGGGGATTTTGTTCAACACAGCCAAACTGGTCTCAGTAGAAAAAGAATGTCATTTGGAGAGACTAGACTGAAACCTAATTTTACTTTTAAAAATTCACAAATTTAAAAAGTTAAATGAAATTGTAATTGCCAATTGTGCTCAAATAGAAAAATGTAGAAACTTTCATGTTAAGGTCTGAACTCACCCTGGGAAGCCATGATGCGCTCTCAAACCACGGCCTGCACAGCTTCCTGATCTGCAAGAAATAAAACACTTAGTCCAATTTACTCAGTAAATATTTATAAAGTTAAAATGCATTTATAATCATGGCCTCCCTCAAGTTTGCACCTTTGAGTACAGCCAAGTGCCACTGGTGACTGCGGCACAAAGAACTACAAACTTTGAAATGTTGGAAACTTGTGTGTGTTTTTTTTTTAAACTCCAGTTTAGCAGAGGCTCGTACAAAGGCTCCATTAGGCAGCCATTTAGGTGCGGACGGACAGAGGAAGTGTAGCGCAGGGTGGAGGAGCAGGGAGGAGGGCACACATTCCTGCTATGGCTTTGAACTCTGCAGGAGAAGTAAACAGTTGCAATGGCAGCAGAGAGCAGGTCTGCACGGGAAATTATTCACAACGTTTAAATAAGGCCAATGCAACCCAAAGAAAATGTTTTGACAGTAATGCACAAAAACAAGAAATGTGGCAGGCCTTCATGGAAAAAGGATAAACAGATAAGACCCAATAGGTCAAAGTCTCTTGACAAACTATTTCAAAGGGCTGATTATTGCAGGATAAGCCAACTTTAAAAAGTAAACCAAATCCTGTTCAATTACAGCAGGCCAGTTTTGACATGTTCTGAAGAGTTCAAGTGCAACTGGCTGATGTTGCTTTAAGCCCTTTCACAACAAGTTTGATATGTTCTTAAAATTAATCTGAATAGCTTAGACAAGTACAATTTGCCCAATACTACCACAAACATGAAAAAGGCATAAAAACCTAACAAAAAATAGAACTAGATTTGTACTGGGCCAATGTAAAGTTCCTGTACCAACCCTTGCATACAAATTGCCTAGACCTTCAGGTACCCAAGCATTGAAGCTTAATAGCACAGCACACATACAGGGGACCACTAGTCTCTCAGCAGTCTGACAGAAGCAGTGTCATTAAAACACACTCTTGAGTCAGGCCCAGAGACTGCTGGTTCTAACCACAAGCACAGACTCAAATTTACCGTTCACACGCTATGCTGGGGCTCTGCAGTCTACCCTTGTATAACCCACTCCTAATGGAAGCCAGATGCCCCTTCAGACGTTAAAACACACCATCAAAGCCCTCACAAAAGACTGCTGCAGTGGAAAGTTACTTCTCTACATCTGGATACTATAATAAAAGCAGTGAGAGTTTACATAGATTAGTAAACAAATACATTAATACAACTTTGTGTAAGATTTTGATGCTCAAAATTGGCAACCAAAACAAGCTGAAGTGAGCTTTTGTAGTGTCCATGCAAATAGTCATCCAACCTCAACTTGCCAAATTTCAGTGTGTACAAAGCTATACTACTGAAACCTGTGCCAGGATCCAATAATCTGCTGTAAAGAACCAAGCCAAATCTCCCTTTTGCTTCTACCAGCCTTCCTAGTACAGCACATCCATAACTGAGCCCAACAGGCTCTTATTATCGGCAGGAGCAGAGGCAATAGCTGCGCCCAGCTCCAGTGTTGGCAGTGTAATGTGCAGGGTCAGCAGCCCCACTGCTGCCAACAACACAATGAGCCGAGAGCCTGCAGCCGCTGCGTCCGAACTGCAACACTGACGCCTGCAAGATGCTCACGGCAAAATGCAATCACACAACCACCACATTTATGCCGAAGAGCAGTAATCATCAAAACTTGAGTACTGCGCTGGATGGACCGGCCATGGACCGAGCTTGTCTATGAGACTTTTTAAGGTAGAAAATAGCATAAAGTCAAAGATTATAATCTGGTTTAGCAGAATTGTTAGTGCACAGAGATCATTGCGAAACAACGGAAAAGCATACGATTTTATCCGTGATTCCGTGGGCTACCTCAGACCACTACCGGTGTCGGCGGAGCCTACACCCACACTTCCGTCTCTAAACACCTGAAGAAATTTGTGCTGAAAACGGCAGATTTTCCAGTTTTATTTGCAGAATATAAAGATCAAAAGCTGAGCGACGCACACAAAAATACGCTTAGATAATTTGTGTATTGTTCTAATGGCAGATTCAAGTTACTCTACCACATCAACACTTGGCTGTACACACTCCTAGTGGTGGTCAACGACGTAGGAAAGCCGACCAGTTTTGTGGATAGTCATTTTATAAAGTCCGTTCCAATGGCGCCAATGAATCCTCAGCCCTTAGTAATGCCACATATACCACAAATCTAAAACGTGAAGCTGGAGTACAAAGTGAGCCAAATAATAGCCCCGTCTGGCCCCCTCCCACAGCTGCTGGCTGCCCGGACTTTCTTCAACAACACTGAGTCAAATTTCAATCCAGGCTCCTCCTCGTCTTCCTCCAAAACCTCCACAGCTCCGAGGAATTTGTCGGGCTTTGTTTGAAAGGCAAAATGCCCACGCGAGTCTCAAGAAAACATTAATGTGCAACAAAAGGATCGTGTTTAACAAATTCATCTAAATAATTAGATTCCATTTAGTGGCGAGGTTAGGTTAACCAACTTAACTAATGTATTTCATTAAAGTTCCGACACAACTTTCGACGAAGGGTTACGTGAAGCTAACTAGCTAACAACAGTGAATTTACATTGGACACTAAGCAAAACTAGATTCCATAAACTAAGTTATCGTGACTTTAAAACTGAGTAATGCTTTGCAGGAAAAGTTTCAGCAAAACGGCACAAGGTGAAACTACCGTCGAGCAAACATGAGTCACAATAGAGGAATGTGGCCAGGAGCAAAAGTGGCCTAATAGTTGTCGAGTTAGTACACCAACATGGGTTTAACAATCGTATGCTCACTCAAGAACCATGGCGGCCAGGTTAAAAAACTATCTTAGATTTCCAAATGAAAAAAAAAAATCTGACCGCAATAAAACAGCAAAAATTTTAGACTACACACAAAATGAACACACACATACTATGCCGTAACGAAACATTAATGAAAACAGATGTTAAAGAAGCACGTTTCCATTGGGTGGTGTCGGGCAAATCCAAAAATAAAGCCGAGGGAAGCAGCTGGATAAGCCGCCGCAACAGCAGCAGCAGCAGCAGCAGCATCCCCGGTCGAGCCGCACACAACAGCGGTCTCCATTCCCGTACGAGTCCCGTAAAGAGGGACAAAATAATAAAGCCCAAACTCGGAATGGCGATGCCTACCCTTGTCAATTCAGCAAGTCCGTTCAATTGAGTCCTGAAAAGTAAAACACCCCAAAATAGAAGAAACAGGAGGTAAAATAGTGGAGAACGGCAGCGGGAGTCCGGTGCACCCCCTCCGCAGCGCCGGTCTGAGATCGTCTGAAGAAGCTGAGACTGGAAAATGTAAGATGGCGGCGCTTTTATATAGACCGCAGCACGCCTCCCGTGGCTGCATATCCTGCCGTATAGGTGAATAAAATAGAATCTCAAAACACATCACAAATGTATTAAAATACTTACTTAGATACAGTAATATATATTTGTTGGTGTTTTTGCTAAACATGTCATAATGAAGTCGTTATGATAGCATGACGTGATTAAACTGATCACCCTACTATGTGTATGAATACACAAATGAAACGAGTTCCGGCAAACGATAAGGGGGAAAATCCAACCTGTTTACCCCAACTTTTAGATTCCAAGTTTTTCGTTATAAATTTCTACTGAAGCTGTATTATTTAGTCTTATCAGCATATCCTAGGGCGTTTACATGACTGCACCAACCCTATTTCCTACATGGTCACTCAGGTAAGTGCTGTAAGACAACCTAAATAATTTGTGTTCATTTATTTCATTATTTTAATCATTTAAAATAATCATATGTAGATTTTAATATGTTGCCATTTCTTTACAGTCTTTAATTAGATCATTATTTACTTTTTGTTTTATAAGATCATGCTAAATATTTCACTGTAGGATTAATCATTCTTTCTTACCCAATTACGAGCCAGATTCAGTCATTAAAATTACACTGATCCATGGGCAAAGCAAGGTCCTTTAAGTGAATAGTGTGATCTAGCTGGCCTTTATTCTCAGATCACACAGTGCTGGCTGTTAATTTTCAAATGAAATATTTGGCTCTGTATTAAGTCAATGCTCAAAGAACCATATAAAAAAGCTACATTATAGGCTATGTTTTAGAAAACTCCCAGCTTTAGTAGTGTCACTAAAGTCTAAAACAGGTAAATGTTATTGCATTAGTTACCTGCCTCCACAGTTACAGAGACCCTTGATGCTGTATAAAACCTTTGCCAAGTAGTTTTACTCAGTTTACAATATACACATGGGGGATTACTTTCCAAAGCAAATTCCAATTCCAATCACTCTCTGAAAGAATGTACTAGTGTATGCAATATGTTCATCTGCCAGTATGAGTGAAGCCTGCGTCATAGTGTGTTGTCACATTGAAAATGGCAGTAATTAAAAGTAATTATGTGGTTTTAAACCGCATTAGGAGGTTCTGTTTTCAGTATGAGGTGTGAGAATATTACTTCATGGTGTAGGCCTATTGGGCAGTGTAATATATTTACATTTTAAGGAAACAATCATTGGTTCAAGAAATCCAGGAAGACGTAAGCAAAGACATAATGCAATCACAAAGTACACTGCACACTTGATTACATTTAGACTTTCTTTTTAATCATTTTGGCTCCATACACAAGCATTTTATATTATTTACTTTACAAAATCAACTATGCAAACACCACCTATCAATTGTTATCAGTGTTAAATAACTTTTAACAGTTAATCAATTATTTTTGAACAACATGTAAGCTTAGATCAAACTGTGTCTACAGTGCTGTGCTGAATAGGCCCTGTCTCAGTATAATTAATACACATTAGTAATGATTCAGTTGTTAATATTTGGGCATTATTTCACCCAATCACTTTTTATTTCATGATAAGATCTCATAGTTTTATTTTTCATGTTGCTTTGTTCCAGGCAAGATTTTTATCCACAATCCCTGTGAATTTACCCATGATGCACCAGTCCTGTCTGAAATAGCTCAGAGTGGAGTGTGCTCAGTGATGACCCACAGTGGAGCCCACACAGCTCATGTTCCTGCAGCTGGAGAGGCCTTTCATCTGCTCCATGGTCTCAGGACACGCACCTGCAATTTAGAGATAAAAAAGGTTTATTAGTGGAATGACACATTTTAGTACATACACCAAACCTGAACTACAGTGTTATATTTAGCAAGTGATATTTTGGTGCATAGTATCTGTTAAAATACAGCTCTCTCACTCTCAAGTTGATTTATTCATAAAGAGTAATTAATCGTTGGAAGTAATATATGCTTTGGTCTGTTTTAGGAAACCTGTCATACTTGGTGTCTTGGTGTTCATCGACAGGGACAAGGAGTGATGTGACCCATACTGGACAAAGTAGTAACTTCTAGGATCTCTGACATATGGAAGTCATCTTACAGAAAATGTAGGTAAAAATTAGAATAGAATCATCATATTTTTTATTTTTATGTTTTTGTATTTGTCCTGTTATATAGCAGGTATATTTCAATTACATACATGTATATAAAAACATATAATTGTGCATATCACATAACAGTGACATGCTCATGTATGATAGCATGCAGTACATTTAAATAGTTTAACATACCATTAGCCATCCTTTCTGTTTTTTCTTTCTGCAGTACTCTTTTATGATTGCTCTCGCCATTTTAAGTGATTATTTTTTTCAACATCATTGGTGTTGACAACTGTCTGAACTTTTGTTTGTTTGAAAAACCCATTCATTGTAGTTCTGAATGATTCATTGGCAGTAACAATTACTCTCTTTTCACCACGTTGTATCCACAGTAAAACATAAACTAAATACAATGTCTATGAGGAAGAACAACATTTTAAAGCCACAAAATCCCTCACAGACACTAACTGCACTCCCGCTGCGTTGTTGTACCTTGCACCGCGCACATTTGTCAAAACAAACATGTAGTGAGACTGTTGCACTCGTGTAACATTTTGCACAGCTATGAGGACCCTGTATGTGTCCTCTGCTCTGCATGCACTAGGGAGGGGTGTGTGATAATACCAGCCACACAATGCACATAAAAACAGGAGGCTTTTACTTTCCCTGGGGGTGGAAATTCATAAGGGAAGCACAGGTCAGATCCGTGCTCGATTCTGATTGGCTGAAATCCGCTCGATAGGTTCAGAGAGGTATGTGTATGTACGTATGCCGAGCCTTTAAATTATGTTCACTTACTCGTCCCCTGTGGATTTTGTTTGTGCTTTTGAGGTAGTTTTCTTCTGTAAGGTACCATATAGCGGAGTGGGCATCATTATTTAAAAATGGCAGAAACCATTATTATAGATACTTTTAATATGTTAAATTATTTTATTTGGCAATCATTTTGACATTTATACCTAATAAATTAAATGATCCCATAACATTTGCTGAAACATTTGTTTTTAGTTACTGTTGTTGATGGAGAAATAGCACTTGACTCGAGGACATAGAAAATGCATACAATGTTGAATATATAAGGATGCATTGGTTTATATGTCAAATTATGCCAATGAAACCCACACTCCAAATATTTTTGTTTGTCTACTTTTTAGTCATAGTCAAAATGTATATTTTCCTTGATTTTTGGTACATATTTAAATCACTATTACACAATTACACCCTAAATCATTTATTCAATTATAATATGTTGTTGTTGTTAGACAAAGAGAAAATATGGTCTTAGAATGAATTATCATCTATTGCTCTGTATGTAAAAATTCTCAGTACTATGACAACTGTGTAGCATGGTTGCACCTAAAAAGGACTAAATCTAATAAGCCTATGTGAGTAATAGTTGCGTGGCCGTCTATGTATATCTTTAAAAGTCAGAAAACTACTTCTTTACAAAAATAGATGAAAGAGAGAAGTGGGGGAGTCCAGGGAATCACCCAAAATCCTCTTGGCCTTAAGGATGATTTTTACACACCGTCCAATGTCAAAATCAAACCTGCCGCTCGTGACAAAGACTCAAATCCCCCCTCACTATGGGCCTGGGCCTAAAGAGGTGTGGTTTCTTTCTCTCAGTGTGAAAGAACGGGGCAGGACCGAGCTGTAGATGGGGCAGACTAAACAAACAGCCCCCCTGAACTGCCCCATAGACTCTCAGGTCACCACTGTGGTAATGTTTGCATAGAGCTAACATACTCGTGTGGAGGGCTACGACTTATGGCCCTCAAATCATGTTTTCTTCACAAAACATGATGCTATAAATTATACACCATTCACTTGATATTTTATACAAAGTTGTGTTACTTCGTGTTGCACTATACCTGGGGTTTTCTGTTTACACCACAGGGGAGCATTGCATCATTACATAACCTTATCAAATATACAATATTTTCAATGACAAAAGCAGATGGTTATTTACAAAGAGATTGTTTTAAAGTCACACTATACATCCTTTGACCTGTTTATCAGTTGTTTTATCTTTTTTTTTTTTTTTTTTTTTTTTTTTACATTAGACAATCGCAACAGATATAATATATAAAAAAAAAAAAATAGTACAATTATTATTAAAATGATTCTATGATCAGTTAAAGCCACAATGCCAATGTCATTCAAATAAGTTATACTGAATTAACTACTAAGTAATTTTTTATAAGTACATGTGAAAAGAGCTAATGCATTAACGTAAATAAGAACCCACTAATCAAGCTGTATTATCTTATATCTTATATTTTCAGTCCCTCTTTAATTCTTGTAACTTTGTTATCTGCCAATACTCCCATATATGTTCTTAAAATGCACACACATTTTTTTTTCCCCATATAGAAGTGCAATATAATGAGTCATAACATAAGTGCCATCTTGTTATCCATTTGGAGTTGGAGGCAAGAGGACACTGTTGGCTTCAGATACTACAGTGGGATTATCAGGATTGTCCAGTATAAGCCGATATAGGAAACAATGTGAGTCAGACCATAGGAGCTGACATATGGGAGAAACAATATTGGCAAGCTCTCCAAAACTCGAGTGGTACAATAATGCAACACGGGGATCCATGTTGAGGTGGAGTTACTCTGTCAGATACAAACTGCACAGACAGGAACCATGCAGCGATACATGAAGCAGTAACCTAATTTGGTGTAGTAGTATTTTAATGTTGACCGTGGCACACATCAAAAGCCCCACTTGTTTTTAAAGCCACTACTCGAATGACATTTCACCTTTGCTTTTATGAATCGTGTGTTGCTGCAGCAGGAGTCGCCGTACCCGCATTTATACTGCATTAGGGGTTGCCATGGTAAAAGTACTTCGGCAGAGAGAGAGGAGATGGGGGTCTGACCGAGATAGACAACATAGAAAGCCAGCAATATCAACAGAAATATATTCAATAATAAAATCAGACGGACAGTTCTTGATAGGGCGGTGGTGAATACAAACCCTCTCCTTTAAAGCAAGATTTTGTTGTAAAAATAAATAAACCTTTGTATATTTTTTCTAGGGCATGGACACTGTGAACTTCACCAAGACATTCAAAACGCTTCATATGAAAAGCAGGTATTGCCTATACACCTTTTATTTTGTCAAGAATTTGATAGGAATTGACCTGCTGTAATGGTAGTGACCCTGTAAGTGTTGTGTGGGTTCATATTGTATTTAGGGCATGGGGAGCTGATCAACACAAATGACTGTAATAAACTAAACAGATTAATACTATTAGTATACTAATATTACAAGAATACTGAAAAAAAAATTTAAGTCAGAACAATATTGTGGTTCTGACTTTAATTTTTTATTTTAATATCAAATTGAATTTAACATTGTACTGTATACAATTTCCCTGTTAATTATTGCCCCTTGTGATGTTCACACATCAAAAAAGAAGAAAAAAAAGTAAACATGTAAAATATATAAAACAAATACCAACTAAACTAGACTTAGGATTAGTTGTTTATACTGTAATATTACTGTATAATTTAAAACAATATCAGGCATATTTCATTTTGATCCACATGAGAACCAATCCAATTTATAGTATGGTAATCAAACTGCAATTTCTATAATGACTAACTATAAAATATAAACTCCATTATTCAGATGTAATAAATGTATTCTACATTTACATTTAAATAACATACATAATTTTAAACCAGGCCAAAATTGTTACATAAAACAACAATGTAAAGCACTATTAGGATTTTTCTAAGCACTGATTTAAATCCTAGTCACCTGCAGTTTGCTCTCTCTTGACCATTTGACTCTTTCCTCACTTAAACAGCTTGCCTCTCTCAGAAACACATACAAGTCATGAATCCAAAGTGATGGAGATGGTGCTTAAGCCAGAGTCACTCCCTGGCGTTCATTCACAGCTCTCGATGTCATGTTCAAATTAAACTGCACATTAGGACGCCGAGTGGAAAGCTGCTAAAAGTCATTTATCGGCAGGATTATGGTCAACAGCTGCTCATTAAAGACAGACACATCTGGATTTATGGGCCATTTATGTCACACACGCAGCAGGCTCGGACCACTGCAGTTCACACGAGTACGACACAGGGACTTACACATATATCATTATCATTAGAGGGCTCAGAATCAGACATAGCTCATAGCACAAATGTGATAAATATTATTGAAGTCATTTAACATGGCTGTCAGTCTGGTACACAGCAGTTAAGATGAATGCTGTGTTAAAATTTACGATCCAATATGTGCTATATAAACAAAATGGAATACTGTCTATGAAATGCAATGTGGGGTTTTTCATCAGTTTATTATGAATATTGTGTAGGCAAACTTTATAAGCCTATAGGGTAAATTAGAGACAACGCAGCTCAGTGCAGCGGTGTAAAAGTCAAGTCAGGATCCAAAAATGGGTCACACCACAAGCTGCTTAAAGAGTTAGAGCTAATTTAAATATAGTCTTTATTACTTTATTTACAATATTGTGCCATATGTCATGAGGCTGAAATTATTTACAAAATGATGTCATGTATGTTATATAAAATTACTGAAAAATACAAGACAAATGTGATATATATATATATATATATATATATATATATATATATATTCAGAATTACTGTTTTTATAATTTTAAAGATTTTAACAACACTATGGAGAATTTCTTTTTAATAAGTATTGTAAACCAAATGGGAACCGACTGTCAAAACAACCCATTACACTAACTAAATTATGGCCAATTTACAATGCAAGGAAGAAACAATGCAGCACTTTCTATGTTTCCAGTAATCTCTAATTCACTTTGTAAACTAAAAGAATTACATATTTTGTGCAAATTTCATCCACAGCAATTCTTATTTGTTTAGACCCCATCCAAACCAATACCAGCTATATTATTCTTATCAATAATCATCTTTTACAGTGAATAAAAGCATTGTACACGGCTAGCTCCGGTTCAACCTGTGGTTTAATCAATTTCTTGAGCCAATTTTTCTTGCAAACCTCCCAACACTGACACGGACAAGCCTGTTACAGCCGTCATATTAAAACCTGCCACTCTGTCATTAGCAAATCAATTGTAGCTTGTTGAACCGAGAACCATTGCCAAACCCTCCCCCTATTTTATCACAAAGCTGTAACAATACAAGAACGGTCCATTTTAATAGGAAAAGTCCTTTAAAGTTGGACTAAAAGCTGCTTATGTGGCAACAATGTAGGGGCGGCCCCAAGCATGACGGATCCTCTGTGCATTGAGTTTAAAAGAATGGCTGTAAAAATAGGCCGTACAGCTTTGCAGAGGCTGAAGATGTTCTGGCTATACATTATGTGTAAAGAGATACTTGATATATGGGCCTCAGCTTTTGTGAACCTTTTACAAATAACTGAGTTTAACTTAAAAGCAGAGGTGCATTGGAAGTAAGTGTAGAAGCCATTAAAGCAGTACATAAGTAGTAATAAATATAAAATGAAGAGTTTTTCAAAGATCGGTTTATGGTTAGTGTTCATCAACTATAGACTACAAACTACGGTTATCATAATTATCAAAAAGATCAAACATAAAATCTAAGTCCTGATATTTTTAAACAAGTCATAATAAAAAATTAAAAAAAGTTTTCTAATCTTTAATTCCAGAGAGAGCAACAAAGTCCATATATCTCTGGCTTAACAGGCTCCACAAAAATAACCTGTCTATAGATTACAAATTTTAAAAAAAATATATGTCTTATATAGCATGTGTCAAGGCCATCCAAGTTAATCATAGATTCAATGTGGTAGCTGTTAATATCTCACACTGATGAAATCTCATGACTTAATTCAATAAGTCTGGGTCAAGTGTTCAGTTACAGATGTGTACATTACCTGTACTGATAAGAAACACGCTGATCACAAATGGATAAATTACTTATAACACAAAGGTAAAAAGACATCATTGTCAACAAAAGATGACAACAGATATATATCTTTCACGGTGATCAGTGCAAAAGCATTTTTCATTGTATATGCAAAAGTGTTCGTGAGATGAGGTTGAAACTACGATTTTAATAAGATAATAGCTAATGGAAAGTAAACATACACCTTGTGCACTCTAAATATATAAAATACATTTCTACAACATGAGAGTAAAAAGAGCAATCTATGATTTAACAAAAAGTACTATTTGTATTTATTTTCACTGTTTTAATGTTTTTGCACACTTTTATTTAATTTTCTATAACTAGAACTAATTCTCATAGTGGAACACATTTAAATGCATCAGTGTTTGGGTAAACTACACTATACAGTAAGGCCTTGTCATCAGTCTGTAAATCCATGCTTTGCTCAACTTTATTTTTAATGTTTATTATCAAGCCTAGAAAAATTGTGAGCTCATATAATTAGAAGGTATAGGACATATCTGTACAGCACACAGCTTTGGAAAAAAAAATAAAAAAAATTACACATATCTGGGCAATATAATAATTTTAGGACTTTTAGGACCTATACATTTAATTAATGTTGTAATGTTAGTTAGTATTTTTTATAATATAATTTTCTAATAATTTAACTATAATGGTCCAATCATATTTTGTTCATAAATGTGTATACAGTATCCATGTTTGTTTACAGTGCAGAAAAGGTTTAAAATAATAATAATACTCCCAGTAATATTTAGTTTTGTACAATTAATTAAAATCCACACATCCACTTTAACATGAAAAACAAAAAAAAACCAAAAAAAAAACATCATAATCCCTGACTTCTCCCACCTCAGAGCGTTATAAAAAAAAATCCAGATTACACAACTCAGCTCCGACTCAAGCCCCACCCTTTTAACGCTTTTGTGAGAGAGAAAAAAATCAGCCCAAAAAGTGAAGCGACGAAGGGGAGAGCGGCTTGTAAACAACGGCTATGGCTGCCACTTTGGGTGCGCGTCCTACTGACCGCTATGTTAATCCACTTAAAGACACAAAAGACAGCAAAAGCCCACATCTCACACTCACTATTTTATTACTAACATTTCACCTGGTCCTGCGCTGCTGCAGGTGACGCAAGGGGGGGCCGTCCTGCTTGTAGATAACCACCATCCAGGGGTCAGTGAATGGGACAGAGGGGTTAATTTTGCATGGTGTCTTCTCTGGCTCTCCTCTGTTTTTTGCATTACCTTAACAAAAGCCTCTTGCACACACGCATCCCATCCACCAGCGTGACAGACACAGACAAAATGGCTGAATGGTGACGGAGGGGCTGTGTGCTTCGTCTTTATGTTGGGACTAATCAGGCCGAACTAACATGTGTCAACACTCGGCTACAAATGGGCCACATTGTGCAAAGGACAGAATGGTAAAACTAACAGTCTCTCCATCACCTGACATCCTACACAAAACCTACCATTTTGTTTTTAAAAATACACAATATTTATTAACTGTTTGCAATTTCCTACTCTGAACTGTCCTTAAAAGCTGCAGCCAGCAAGCAGAAAAAATGTAAACAAAGGAAACGATGTACAGTAAAAAAAATCCCCAATCACAACTAAGCAACTGGAAAGCTTAGACCTCCACCAAGGCACTAGTCCTGTCTTGTGATGTGAAATGGATATTGACCGAATCTGGATTTTCTTTTCTTTCTTTTCTTTTGAACCGAACAATCCTCACATTACACATTTGTCTGTTTTTATATCACAACACTAAAATTTGAAGGTCAATTTCGATACAAAGAAAAAGACTTGAAACTCAATATAAACCACTTTTTTAGACAATAGACTGTAATTTCTGACACAAAAGTCTGTTGTTTCTTAAATATTGCCTTGTGATCTCGTAGCTCTTATATAAAATAATGCACACCAAATTCTTATAATAGTGTATGGAAAATGTATGCAATTTGTCTTGATTTCACTTAACATTTCTATATATAAGCAGGTAGAATTCAGAAATACCATAACAAAGAAAGCAAAGAATTATAGGAGACAGGGCAACCTTTCACGGGCCTTTCCGGTTTATGTGATTTTTTTTTTTTCAATGTCAGTACTTCAAATGACTGTCTAGTTTTGATGCTTGTTTTAGTAGTACCTATCTATCACTACTTTTGGCCACAAATTGTAAAAACTAGTAAACTTG